AAGAGGTGGTGGACGAGTGGAACAAGCTTAGCAACTTTGTAGTAAGTGCTGAAACACTGGAGAGTTTTAAAAGGAGGCTAGATAGATTCATGGATGATAGAGAGTGGTAGTAACTCTTGACAGGAGCTGCCATGCACAGGCCAACCGGCCTATGGCAGACTCCTTATTTTCTTATGCTCTTAAGTTACGCGCTTTAACTTATGGAGTTCGATGTCAAATATTTGTTTTGAGTATATCATCGGTGTTTTGAGTATACCGATCTGAGAGGGAGCCACGAATTACCCAAAAGTACCCAAATGCACCCAAAAGTATATCAAATAAGGGTAAAATCTTAACGAATATCTGTTATACATACACAAAACATGCTTAATAATATTTTTAGTGTAATGTAAGATGAAATAATAAACAGCGAAAAACTTTCAGTATTGGCGAACGCTAAATTCCAAAGAGTTTGTGAACAAAGGGAGATAACTCAGATCCATCGTGATGCACTTCGCTAACCTAACCTAACCTAACGTAACCTAACGAAAAGTAAATCTTACGGCTATGTTAAATACCCCAAAGTAACAGAAACATCGGTAATTATATCGGTAAATTTTTCTTGTAGCTCCGTTCACTTGTAGCAAGTTAAAAATATATTTTTCTATTGTATTTGTGTGTGCTGAGACCGAATATGACCTTCCTTTTTGGCGGAAATTAGCCTCTTTTTTGGGCGATTTTTTTCGTTTGACGTTTTCCGAGAAAAAAGTGCCTAAGCGACTAACAAATACACAATAAAACACTAGAAAAACAATAACCAAACCCAACCTAACCTGACCTAACCTAACTGACTCTCACCATATGATGGAATCATCTATTTCTTACCTTATTGGCCGGGTTCTTGTTCGTCGTTGCATTCTGGGATTCTTACACAACGCCACATATGTTGGTCTTTACGATATTTACATTCCGTCTTGCTCTTAGTACACTTTACTGAGGTTGGAAGAACACCATGCGATCGAAAAAATGCTATAATTTCTACGTTATTTTTTTCCCAAAACTCGCAATCAGCTCCATATACTTTAAGTGACACCCATCACAGACTTCCATGGTCGGAACTTAACTTGAATTTCAAAATATGAGACCCAAAATAAAACTCGATTTTGATTGGGCCAAATATACTCTGTATTAGCAAAAACGCTTTTGATTGGCCGCGTGACCTGTACGGGTACGCATGCGCGTCATGATTTATGAAGGAGACGCGAGAGACATTGAGAGGCAGACGATAATGGCACGATGTTAATGGAAGAAAATAGAAAACATTTTGAAAAAGCTATCTCCGTTATTATACATTTCTGCCGGTAATGTAATAGATGAAAATTATCTTATAATTAGACGTCTTAATCGAATATGATAATAGATTAGTGGTAGGTGACTTTGGAATTTAGCGTTTTTCGCTGTTTATTATTTCATTATTTTGACTACATTTCAATGAAAACAGGTTTTAATGATGTAAAACATATATTCGTTAAGATTTTACCCTGATTTAATATACTTTTGGGTAATCGTTGGACCGATCTGAGACAGTAAGTCCAGTTACACAACGACATAGTCCCATAAATGTTTTAGAGGTCTCTCGCGTTCTCCTTCAGGTCTCTCACGTTCTCCTTCAGGTCTCTCACGTTCTCCTTCAGGTCTCCCACAGGTCTCCCTCATGGCCACACGACAATGATACATATTTCAACAGTATATATGGTAAGACATATATGCTCCTTTCATCTAATATATCACTGTAATGGTGGTGTTGTTAGTTAATGTTGTTACTCTTCCACGAACAGTCTAAAATATTTATCTTTCTATAAAAACTGTTTATTTATACATTATTATCAATATAAAACTATATAATAAAACTCCAAAGTAAAATTTATTTATCTATAGTAAAGGAAATATATTATCTCTAAGTAGGTTATAATATATATATATCTAAAAAAATATTTACCTTACATTACTAACATTAATCATCTTCCTACACGTGTTCACACTACTGTAAGTTATAAGAGTAAACGTTTCCAGCGACTATTTTAGCCACTTATTACTTATTTTAGCCCTTTACCGGTAAATTTTGAGGCTATTTAACGTCTTATGGTCATATAAAAACAAAGCAAACCTAAACCGATTACATTACCAGCATTGAACTTCCTGATGAAAAGGTGTAATGAAATACCATATGACAGGAAAAGCATTACAAAAACACAATACCTGGTTACTTAAAACAAATAATTCCACCATTCTTTTCCATTTTCTTGAAGTGAGTATTTCTTATTAAACCTGGCAATGGCTACCGAACGTAAAAAAATAAATAAATAAATAAAACAGTTTCTGGGTTCCATCAGTACAGGTAGGGTGGCAGGTGGTATTGGTGGGTGGGTGGGTGGGTGGTGGTGGTATAAGTGGGTGGGTGGTAGGTGGTATTGTGGGTGGGTGGGTGGTAGGTGGTATAAGTGGCTTGGTGGGTGGGTGGTAGGTGGTATTGGTGGGTGGGTGGGTGGGGGTAGTGGTGGTGGGTGGCAGGTGGTATAAGTGGGTGGGTGGTATAAGTGGTAGGTGTAGGGGTAGGTGGGTGGGTGGCAGGTCTTGTGGGTGGGTGGTAGGTGGTATAAGGTGGGTGGGTAGGTATAAGGGTGGGTGGCAGGTATAAGTGGGTGGGTGGTAGGTGGAGCAAGGGGTGTAGTGGGTGGTGCAGGGGTGGGCAGGTGGTCTGGTGGTGGGTGTATAAGTGGGGTAGGTGTAAGGGGTGTAGTAGGTGTAGGTGGGTGGCAGGTGGTATGGCAGGTGGTCTTGTGGTGGGGTGGTAGGTGGGTATTGGTGGGTAGCAGTGGGTAGGTGTAGGTGGGTGGCAGGTGGTAGGTGGGGGGTAGTAGGTGTAGGTGTAGGTGGGGTGGCAGGTGGGTGGGTAGGTGTGGGGTAGTAGGTGGTGGGTGGCAGGTGGGGTGGGTGGGTAGGTGGTATATAAGGGTGTAGGTGGGCAGGTGGTGGTCTGTGGGTGTGGGTGGTCTTGTGGGTGGTGGTGGTAGGTGGGTGGGTGGTATAAGTGGGTAGTAGGTGTGTGGTCTCAGGGTGGGTGGTAGGTGGTACAAGTGGGTAGTAGGTGGGTGTGGGTGGTATCAGGTGGGCAGGTATAAGGGGTAGTAGTAGGTGGGTATAATTAGGTGGTGGGTGGTAGGTGGGCAAGTGGTGTAGGTGGGTGGTGGCAGGTGGTCTTGGTGGGTGGGTTGGTGGCATGGGTGGTGTAGGTGGGTGGCAGGTATAAGTGGGTAGTAGGTGTAGGTGGGTGGCAGGTGGTACAGGGGTTGGTGGGTGGGTGGTAGGTGGTATAAGTGGGGTGGTATTGTGTGGGTGGTAGGTGGCATAAGTGGGTGTAGGTGGGCAGGTGGTCTTGGTGGGTGGTGGTGGTGGTATATGGTGCAGAGGTGGGTAGGGTGGGTGGCAGGTGGTCTTGGTGGGTGGGTGGGTGGTATGGTGCGGGTGGTAGGGTAGGTGGTGGGCAGGTGGACAGGTAGGTGGTAGGTGGGTGTAGGTGGGTGGCAGGTAGTATTGGTGGGTGGTAGGTAGGTGGTATGTGGCAGGTGTCTGTGTGGTGGGTGGGTGGTGGTATGGGCGGGGCAGTGGTGTAGGTGGCGGGCAGGTGGTCCTGTGGGTGGGTGTATAAGTGGTGCAGGTGGTAGGTGTAGGTGGGTGTGGTGGGTTGGTGGGTGGGTGGGTGGGTGGTGGTATCAGGTGGGTGGGTGTGGGTGTAGGTGGGTGTAGGTAGGGTCTTGGTGGTCTCAGTGGGTAGTGGTAGGTGTGTGTTGGTGGGTGGGGTGGTAGGTGGTGGCATGGTCTGTGGGTGGGTGGTAGGTGGTGGCAGTGGGTGGGTGGGGTGGGTGGTATAAGTGGGTGAAAGTAGGTGTGGGTGGGTGTAGGTGGGATGGGTGGTGCAGGTATGGTGGGTGGGTGGGTGGCAGGTGGTAGGTGGGTGGCAGGGTGGGTGGTATAAGTGGGTAGGTGTAGGTGGCAGGGTGGTCTTGGTGGGTGGGTAGGTATATGGGCAGGTGCAGGTGGGTGGCAGTGGTCTTGGTGGGTGGCAGTGGGTAAGTGGGTAGTAGGTGTGGGTGGGTGGCAGGTGGTCTTGGCAGGTGGGTGGGTGGTGGTAGGTATATGGTAGTAGGTGTAGGTGGGTGGCAGGTGGGTAAGTGGTGGTATAAGTAGTAGTAGTGGGTGGCAGGTGGTGGGTGGGTGGTAGGTGGTATAAGTGGGTAGTGGGTGTAGGTGGGCGTGGCAGGTGTGGCTTGGTGGTGGGTGGTGGTAGGTGGTATAAGTGGTAGTAGGTGGGTGGCAGGTGGTCTTGTGGTGGGTGGTAGGTGGTATAAGTGGGTAGTAGGTAGGTGTAGGTGGCTGTGGGTGGTATTGGTGGGTGGGTGGTAGGTATTGGTGGGGTGGCAGGTGTATAAGGGCAGTAGGTGGTGGTGTGGGTGGTCTGGTGGGTGGGTGGTAGGTGGTGGGCTGGTGTGTGGGGTGGGTGTGGCAGGTATAAGTGGGTAGCAGGGGTGTAGGTGGGGTGAGGTGGTCTGGTGGGTGGGTGGTGGTGGTATTGGTGTGTGTAGTGGTGGGTGGCAGGTGGTCTTCCTAAAGGAGATGTTGACGTGATAAACTCATTAGTCTTTTTTGAAGAAGAGAAGGAGGAGGAAGAGGAGGAGGAGGAGGAGGAGGAGGAGGAGGAGGAGGAGGAGGAGGAGGAGGAGGAGGAGGGAGGTAATTTCCCCATAATATGTCATTGTTTGTAAACATTGTGACCGTCACACACACACACGCACACACGCACACAACAAAAGATCGCGTATGTGCGTGTCTGGTGGCCCGTGTGTACTTCCTGGCTATTTCCTAGTGGGCCCGACACACACACACACACACACACACACACACACACACACACACACACACACATATCAGTCTTCAGTTTGCCGTTGACCAGGTGTGTGCGTGTGTGTGTCTGTCTCCCTAACTCACAGTAAAGTAAATTTAAGTAAGGTGAAGTAAACTAAACAGCCATACTTAGGCGATTCAACCGTGTTAAGTATATTGTTGTATACCTGTACTGTCTATATTAACCTGGCCATCTCCCGTTTAGTGAAAGATCGTCAGCCAGGCTCTGATTGGTTGACATAGATGACGTCATATTGGTCAAATTAGTAAACACATTGTCTCAACTTACAAGGGATAATCCGGATTCAAGATGGATTACTACACGAACGCAAGACCAAGGGATCGTTCTTTTAACCTGACGATATTTGTACTTATTTCTGCACTTATATGGTGTAAGTATAAGTGTGAAGTGTGTAAGTGTCTGTGGTAGATTTAACATTAACTCTCTCTCTATCTCTCTCTCTGAAACACTGTCACACACTTTCTCACTCACACACACTCTCTCTTTCTTTCTCTCACACACACACACACTCTTTCTCTCACACACACCACATCAGGCCCCTCATAACACCATCTGTGAGGGAATGACTACACCACATCAGGCCCCTCATAACACCATCTGTGAGGGAATTACTACACCACATCAGGCCCCTCATACACCATCTGTGAGGGAATTGCTACACCACATCAGGTCCCTCATAACACCATCTGTGAGGGAATTACTCCACCACATCAGGCCCCTCATAACACCATCTGTGAGGGAATTACTACACCACATCTGGCCCCTCATAGCATCTGTGGGGAATTACTACAGTACACACCGTGAGGTCCTCAACAACACCATCTGTGAGGGAATTATTACACCACATCGGGCCCCTCATACACCATCTGTGAGGGAATTATTACACCACATCAGGCCCCTCATACACCATCTGTGAGGGAATTATTACACCACATCAGGCCCCTCATACACCAACTGTGAGGGAATTATTACACCACATCAGGCCCCTCATAACACCATCTGTGAGGGAATTATTACACCACATCGGGCCCCTCATAACACCATCTGCGAGGGAATTACTACACCACGTGATGCCCCTCATAACACCATCTGTGAAGGAATTACTACACCACATCAGGCCCCTCATAACACCATCTGTGAAGGAATTACTACACCACATCAGGCCCCCCATAACACCATATGTGAGGGAATTACTACACCACATCAGGCCCCTCATAACACCATCTGTGAAGGAATTACTACACCACATCAGGCCCCTCATAACACCATCTGTGAAGGAATTACTACACCACATCAGGCCCTCAACACCATCTGTGAGAGGGTACTACACCCATGAACCTCATAACACCATCTGTGAAGGAATTACTACACCACATCAGGCTCATAACACCATCTGTGAAGGAATTGCCACCCATCAGGCCCCTCATAACACCATCTGTGAGGGAATTACTTACACCACATCAGGCCCCTCATAACACCATCTGTGAAGGAATTACTACACCACATCAGGCCCCTCATAACACCATCTGTGAAGGAATTACTACACCACATCAGGCCCCTCATAACACCATCTGTGAGGGAATTACTACACCACATCAGGCCCCTCATAACACCATCTGTGAAGGAATTACTACACCACATCAGGCCCCTCATAACATCATCTGTGAGGGAATTATTACACCACATCAGGCCCCTCATAACACCATCTGTGAGGGAATTACTACACCACATCAGGCCCCTCATAGCACCATCTGTGAAGAGGTACTACACCACATGGGCCCCTCATGGCACCATCTGTGAGGGTACACCACATCAGGCCCCTCATACACCATCTGTGAGGGAATTACTACACCACATCAGGCCCCTCATACACCATGTGTGGGGGAATTACTACACCACATCAGGCCCCTCATACACCATCTGTGAGGGAATTACTACACCACATCAGGCCCCTCATACACCATCTGTAAGGGAATTACTACACCACATCAGGCCCCTCATACACCATCTGTGAGGGAATTACTACACCCCGTCAAGCTCCTCACAACACCACCTGTGAGGGAACTAGTACTCCACGTGATGCCCCTCATAACACCATCTGTGAAGGAATTACTACACCACATCAGGTCCCTCATAACACCATCTGTGAGGGAATTACTACACCACATCAGGCCCCTCATAACACCATCTGTGAGGGAATTACTACACCACATCAGGTCCCTCATAACACCATCTGTGAGGGAATTACTACACCACATCAGGCCCCTCATAACACCATCTGTGAAGGAATTACTACACCACATCAGGCCCCTCATAACGCCATCTGTGAGGGAGTTGCTACACTATTGTACATGTCTGCTGTTCAACACCTCAGCTCACATGATCTACGTGTGTAAACATTAATCTGTATGTTCACTGTATGTTCCTTCACCTTTCTCTAATGAAGGCTTTTGTTAAACCACCAATGTATGTAATAAGTCATTTATGTCCAGTGTATATTTTCAGCCTTCGGGCCGCAAACTTTTTCAATAAACCGTTAATTATTATTATTATTATTATTATTACATATTCTCTCTCTATATATATCTCTCAAACACCATCATTCATTCTCTCTCCCTCTCTCTCTCAAAGGTCAAACAGAGGGACTAGACTGCTTCAAGTGTGGGTCAATCAATGGGTCAGATCCGCACTGTATCGACCCATTTCACCATAACTTCTCCAGCAGCTATCTCTCGTCTCCCTGTCTCGCCGGCTGGAAAGAGAGACAGGGTTTGTTCCCAGCCACTCACTGCGTCAAGCTCTCGGGTTATTTCTGTGAGTTTAATGATCACACTGTTTCTCTAAGGGGGTTGGGTGGGGTTGGGTGGGGTTGGAGTTAGGGGTTGGGGGTGGGGTTAGGGTTTGGGGAGTAGAGTTGGGCAGGGTTGGGTTAGGGTTGGGGTTGGGTTAGGGTTAGGTTGGGGTGGGGTTGGGTTAGAGTTTGGGGTGGGGTTGGGTGGGGTGGGGTGGGATTAGGTTGAGCCTGGGTTACGTTAAAGATAAACAAGATCAGTAATAATAATAATAATAATAATAATAATAATAAAAATAATAATAATAATAATAACAGGCCGTGAAGTTGTCTCTCTCTCTCTCTCTCTCTCTCTCTCTCTCTCTCTCTCTCTCTCTCTCTCTCTCTCTCTCTCTCTCTTTCTCTCAGATGATACAACAGAGGCCATGGTTGTTAGAGGTTGTACTACAGACTCTGGGACGCTCACTATTGACACGGAATTAGCCAGGCAAAGTCACTGTGGTATGTTTACTTACAATGACCGGTAAGTGACCTAACCTAACATGAACCTGACCTAACTACTTTACTGCTACTGTCACTAAAATAATATGAATCTACTTACATACATTACTTATAAAACAAATACTTAAAATTACTTACGTTTACTTACGATAACACTTAGGTAATTACTTAGAATAATACTTGTAATCTCTACTTTCACTTACTTAAATTATCTACTTCCACTTAAATGCTACTTACAATACTATTAAGGCTTATTCCACTTACTTCTATCTATCTATCTATCTATCTATCTATCTATCTATCTATCTATCTATCTTCCAGGACTGTGATTGGCTGTGTGGATTCCTGTAGTGAGTTTGATGGTTGTAACTCCGCTCTCAAGTCGGCCCTAAGTCACCCCTGGACTGTCCTACTGACCCTGCTGCTGTTATGGTACTGTCCGTGAACTACTGACCCTGCTACTGTTCTGGTACTATCCGTGAACTACTGACCCTGCTGCTGTTATGGTACTGTCCGTGAACTACTGACCCTGCTACTGTTCTGGTACTATCCGTGAACTACTGACCCTGCTACTGTTCTGGTACTGTCCGTGAGCTACTGACCCTGCTACTGTTCTGGTACTATCCGTGAACTACTGACCCTGCTACTGTTCTGGTACTGTCCGTGAACTACTGACCCTGCTACTGTTATGGTACTGTCCGTGAACTACTGACCCTGCTACTGTTCTGGTACTGTCCGTGAGCTACTGACCCTGCTACTGTTCTGGTACTATCCGTGAATTACTGCCCATGCTACTGTCCCTGTACATAGGAAACTGTATACTCCCACGGTCTAGGTAAACTGTATACCTGTACTGCTTATATATACTGAACTGTACACCCATTGTAAACTTGCATGACAATTTTAGTCAATAAATATCATTAGTAATCTATCAGAGGCTATTTAACCCCTTGAGTATGATGATTTAACCCCCTTGAGTATGATGATTTAACCCCCTTGAGTATGATAATTTAACCCCCTTGAGTATGATGATTTAACCCCTTGAGTATGACGATTTAACCCCTTGAGTATGATGATTTAACCTTGAGTATGATTTAACCCCTTGAGTATGATGATTTAACCCCTTGAGTATAATGATTTAACCCCCTTGAGTATGATGATTTAACCCCTTGAGTATGAAGATTTAACCCCCTTGAGTATGATGATTTAACCCCTTGAGTATGATGATTTAACCCCCTTGAGTATGATGATTTAACTCCCTTGAGTATGATGATTTAACCCCCTTAGGTATGATAGATTTAACCCCTTGAGTATGATGATTTAACCCCTTGAGTATGATTCCTTAACCCCTTAGGTATGATGATTTAACCCCTTGAGTATGATGATTTAACCCCTTGAGTATGATGATTTAACCCCTTGAGTATGATGATTTAACCCCTTGAGTATGATGATTTAACCCCTTGAGTATGATGATTTAACCCCTTGAGTATGATGATTTAACCCCCTTGAGTATGATGATTTAACCCCTTGAGTACAATGACTGGGGTCTATTAGGATTAGGGCCTATAAGAATCAGGGTCTATCAGGACCGGACCCTTTTACAACAGACCCACCACATATATGTTGAAAGAAAACGGGACGAGGCCTGGAGTGAGAGGTAGACTAATGTAGTTAAGATATGACTCGCGGTATTTCCTAACGAGGGAAGAGGAATGTGTCCAGTTGGTGAGGAAAGACAAAGAGGAGGTCATGTCAAAGGTCACACAGGGGGGGTGAGGAGGGTGTAGTGAAGGGCTGTCTATAGAAACCTCAAAAATGCCTCGGTTCTAGTTAATTTTTTCTCACAACCCTAACCTAACCTAACCTAACCTAACCTAACCTAGCAATCCACCAACCTAATCTAAATTGAGGCGTCTAATCCTCAGGTGGATAAATGGACACACAGACAATTACAGATGATGGCAATAACCCCCCCTTCTCCCTGGCGGATGAGGGATATATATCTCGAGGAGAAAAACTAACAGACAGACAAATGGTCATCAGGTAATGGTTACTGTATGTAATCAATGTGTGTAAATCAAGCTGACTTGTACCCCTCTCCCGGATGGACCCCCTCCCTCCCTCTGGCCATCATCCCCCCCTTCATTGGCCACATCATCCCCCTCCCTCCTGGCCATGTCCTCCCCCTCCTGGTCACATCACCCCCTCCCCCCCTCCTGGCCACATCACCCCCCTCCCTCCCTCCTGGCCATATCATACTCCCCCTCCTCTGGCTATCATCCTCCCCCTCTGGCCCACATCATCCCCCCCCTCCCTCCCTCCTGGCCACATCATCCCCCTCCCTCCTGGCCATATCTAGACCACATCTCTTATGTACTGCACCATCTTGACGATACCTGATGATCATACCTGGGCCACACCTGAGCAGAGACACCGCAGCCACACCTGAGCAGATACCTGAGCAGACACCTGTGCCACACCCGAGCAAGTGACACCTGGGCCACACCTGAGCAGAGACACCTGGGCCACACCTTAGCATGTAACACCTGATTTATTAATAAGTCAACATTCCCCCATTAAACATAACAAGTCTTTCCATTATGTGGTTGTAACACCTCCACGTGGCCCTCTGATGGCCCTAACGCCCCCATGTGGCCCTCTGGTGGCCATCAGGACCAACACTGCCCCATCCATTATTCCAGGCAGCCGTCACGAGGTATCATCACTCCTCCGCTTATTAATACATCAACCCTGGGAATTATCTACCACTAGTCCTCACTGAGCCAGGTGAGGGCCCAGGTGAGGTAGGTAGAGCCCAGGTGAGGCAGGTAGAGCCCAGGTGAGGCAGATAGGCCCCAGGTGAGGTAGGTAGGGCCCAGGTGAGGCAGGTAGGCCCCAGGTGAGGCAGATAGGGCCCAGGTGAGGCAGGTAGAGTCCAGGTGAAACAGGTAGGTAAGTGAAGTAGGTGGTGGAGGTAGGGGCCCGGGTGAGCAGGTGGGGCCAGGTGAGGCAGGTGGGGCCCAGGTGGGGCAGGTGGGCCCCAGGTGAGGGCAGGTGGGAGGCCCAGGGTAGGGGCAGATGGGGCCCAGGTGAGGGCAGGTAGGTCCAGGTGGAAACAGGTGGAGTAGGGTAGTAGGTAGGTGGGGGGCCCAGGTGGGGCAGGTAGGGCCAGGTGGGGCAGGTGGGGGCCCAGGTGAGGTAGGTAGGGCCCAGGTGAGGCAGGTGGGGCCCAGGTGAGGCAGGTAGGGCCCAGGTGGGGCAGATGGGGCCCAGGTGGGGCAGGTAGGGCCCAGGTGAGGCAGATAGGGCCCAGGTGAGGCAGGTGAGTCCAGGTGAAACAGGTAGGTAAGTGAAGTAGGTAGGTGGGTAGGGCCCAGGTGGGGCAGGTGGGGCCCAGGTGGGGCAGGTAGGGCCCAGGTGAGGTGGGTAGGGCCCAGGTGGGGCAGGTAGAGGGCCCAGGTGAGGCAGGTAGGGCCCAGGTGGGGCAGGTAGGCCCCAGATTGAGGCAGGTGGGAGCCCAGATTGAGGCAGGTAGGGCCCAGGTGAGGCAGATGGGGGCCCAGGTAGGGCAGGTGGGGGATCCGGGTGAAACAGGTAGGTAAGTGAAGTAGGTAGGTAGGTAGGGCCCAGGTGAGGCAGGTAGGGCCCAGGTGAGGCAGGTAGGGCCCAGGTGAGGTAGGTAGGGCCCAGGTGAGGCAGGTAGGGCCCAGGTGAGGTAGGTAGGGCCCAGGTGAGGCAGGTAGGGCCCAGGTGAGGTAGGTAGGGCCCAGGTGAGGCAGGTAGGACCCAGGTGAGGTAGGTAGGGCCCAGGTGAGGCAGGTAGGGCCCATGAGATATGAATAATGGATCAGCAAGAATAAAGTTTTACATGAGTGATCCACAACAAAGCCTCCCTCTCACTGCCCCACTGACCCACACTAGGTTAGGTTAGGTTAGGTTAGGTTAGGTTAGGTTAGGTTGGGTTAGGTTAGGTTAGGTTAGGTTAATCTTCACGGGGGGTCGTAAGTTACCCCACCAGGAGGCCCATGACCCTGAGTGCTTGTCTGGGACGCTGGGGGAGCCTCTCTCCTGCAGCAGTGGCCGACGTCACCCCCAAGGTCAAGTGAACCTGTTTCTTCACTATAACACACACGTTCACTATACCCACACGTTCACTATACCCACACGTTCACTATACCCACACGTTCACTATACCTACACGTTCACTATACCCACACGTTCACTATACCCACACGTTCACTATACCCACACGTTCACATTGCTCACCATCACAATCACCCCAACACCACATACCACCATCCCCACAACCATGACTACAACAACCACACTACAACCACCACCACGACCACCACCACAATCATCCTAACCACCATCCCTACCACCACAACCACCATCCCTACCACCACACACTCACCACAAAAGCTGAGATAAAACTGTACCAGCATCCTGACAGCAGCGACCACAACATCCTGCACCTGATGTAGGTAAGCTGGGCCCCAGTCTTATCAGGCCCCAGTCCTACCAGGCCCCACATCCTACCTAACCTAACTCTACCGGATCATGTCACATCATTCAATAAGGTTAGGTTAAGTTAAGGGGAGAAGGAGGTCATGTTAAAGAACTAGTACCTATTAGAACTACAGTACCCATTAGAACTGTTACCTATTAGAACTGAGATCATAGAAACAGGCCCCATTACAAGTGACGTCACAGACAGGCCCTATTAGAAGTGACGTCATAGAGACCCTATTAGAAATGACGTCATAGACAGGCCCCATTAGAAGTGACGTCATCCAGCACTATCTGAGGCCGCCATCACACAACAACTCACTAACTCGACTCCCGGATGAGGAGGTATGAAGGCCCTCTGTCGGTGAATGTTGTGGTGGTGAAGAATGTTGGAGAAGAATGTGGTGGTGGTGGAGAATGTTGAAGAATGATGTGGTGGTGGTGGAGAATGTTGGAGAAGGATGTTGTGGTGGTGGAGAATGTTGGAGAAGGATGTGGTGGTGGTGGAGAATGTTAGAGAAGGATGTGGTGGTGGTGGAGAATGTTGGAGGATGTTGTGGTGGAGAAAAATTATGTTTTAAGAGAATGCTGTCATCACACACACACACACACACACACACACACACACACACACACTGAACAAAGATTTCTTGGCAACACACAAAAGGTCAGAGTGTGGCAGAAACACGTTGTTAGCACCTAATGTTAAGACTGAACATACCGTTATAGTGTGTGTGTGTGTGTGTGTGTGTGTGTGTGTGTGTGTGTGTGTGTGTGTGTGTGTCGGTATTAGGAACCATTTGTCATCACACTTGCTTTGTACACTGTAAAGGAACATAGACACTGCAGGTATACAAACAATATACAGTCCCCTTCACTTGTGCGTTTACAGGGGCTCTTCATATAAACATTCCACACATTATCATCTAGATATGTGTATTAATATTATTTACTTTGATTCGACAGTAGATGTAGTAAAGGACAATGGACAGAATAATGTATCGATGTTTACAGCTTCGGGTTCACGAGTCTGAATCCCAGGTGTTCGTAAAGCAGGAGAGGCGACAAGACCGAACCTCCCTCAAAACTCAAGTACACATGCACGTACAGACACAATCACGTACATACACAACCACGTACAGACACAATCACGTACATACACAGGCACGTACAGACACAATCACGTACATACACAGGCACGTACAGACACAATCACGTACATACACAGGCACGTACAGACACAATCACGTACATACACAGGCGTACGAACACAATCACGTACATACACAGGCACGTACAGACACAATTACGTACATACACAGGCACGTACGGGCAATCACGTACATACACAGGCGCTGACGTCACGTACATACGTACAGACGCAATCACGTACATACTCAGGCACGTACAGACATAATCGTACATACACAGGCACGTACAGACACAATCACGTACATACAGGCACGTACAGACACAATCACGTACATACACAGGCACGTACAGACACAATTACGTACATACACAGGCACGTACAGACACAATCACGTACATACACAGGCACGTACAGACACAATCACGTACATACACATACACGTACAGACACAATCACGCACATACACATACACGTACAGACACAATCACGTACATACACATACACGTACAGACACGGACTTGGGCAGAACAGTAGGGTTAGCATCTCGGGGTCCGGGTACTGCAAATCACAACAAACTGAGAGAAAATTTACTCACGTGTGCCTGATTTAGAAGCTTAAGTGGGTGAGGTTCATTAATCACGTCTGGTGGTGTGGGTATTAGACAGCCTCGACACACTGAACCTCTGTCTCTCTGTCTCTCTCTGTCTCTCTCTCTAGGAGGACGAGAAAAAGGAGGAAAGAAGGAAAAGTTGGGGAGGGGTGGGGAGAGGTGGGGAGGGCTGGGGAGAGGTGGGGAGGGCGGGGGGAGAGGTGGGGAGTCACGCGTCATGGGTACCCTCAGGTGTTCAGGTATATGACCACTATAAACTGTGGCTCTTGTTAATTACTTCCCCCACACCTGTTCTGTTCCTCCTTCCTTCCTTCCTTCCTTCCTTCCTTCCTCCTTCCTCCAACCCTCCCATCCATACCCCCCCCCGCCCCATCCTCCACTACCTCCTCCCACAGACAGACAGACAACTGGTGGCACGTGGCTGGGCAGGTGAGTGATCTAGCCTTCAAATTACCTGGTCAGTCTCTCATTACCTGTGTGGGTGACCGCACACCAGGTATGTATGTAAGATGACCCTGTGTGTATGTGTGTGCGTGTTTCTTTGTTTTCATTGTTGTATAAGTAATTTAACTATTTTAATGTCCTAGCTACCCTCCTCCTAGCATCTCCTAGCTAGTTCAAGAGTGTGAGTTACGATACAGATGGACAGATAAACGGGTCAAGCTAGGAGTAATCGACATCCGGCTCAGATAGAAACCCTGTATAGTATTGTGTTTCTGATTGGCACAAGACGACCAGCACCTACTCCTGAGCACTACCACCTACACGCACACACGCCCGCACGCCCACGATTATGTTTCATCATCACCCCACACCCTTCCATCCAAACACACGCCCACGGTGATGGTGTATGGTAGTATGGGGTGTACAGATATGTTAGTATAGGGAGATGGTTATGGTAGTGGTGGGGATTTATGGTAGTGGTGGGGTGGTTATGTGGTGGGGGTGGTTATGGCAGTGGTGGGGAATTGGTTATGGTAGTGGTGGAATTGGTTATGGTAGTGGTAGGGGTGGTTATGGTAGTGGTGGGGGTGGTTATGGTAGTGGTAGGTGGTTATGGTAGTGGTGGTTATGGTAGTGGTGGGGAAGGTTATGGTAGTGGTAGGTGGTTATGGGTGGTGGGGAGTGGTTATGGTAGTGGTGGGGGTGGTTATGGTAGTGGTGGGGGTGGTTATGATAGTGGTGGGGAGTGGTTATGGTAGTGGTGGGGATGGTTATGGTAGTGGTGGGGGTGGTTATGGTAGTGGTGGGATTGGTTATGGTAGTGGTGGGGGTGGTTATGGTAGTGGTGGGGAGTGGTTATGGTAGTGGTGGGGAGTGGTTATGGTAGTGGTGGGGGTGGTTATGGTAGTGGTGGGGGTTGGTTATGGTAGTGGTGGGGATTGGTTATGGTAGTGGTGGGGTGGTTATGAGTGGTGGGGAGTGGTTATGGTAGTGGTGGGGGTGGTTATGGTAGTGGTGGGGTTGGTTATGGTAGTGGTGAAATTGGTTATGGTAGTGGTAGGTGGTTATGGTAGTGGTAGGGTGGTTATGGTAGTGGTGGTTTATAGGTAGTGGTGGGGAAGGTTATGGTAGTGGTGGGGAAAGGTTATGGTAGTGGTGGGAAGGTTATGGTGGTGGGAGTGGTTATGGTAGTGGTAGTGGTGGTTTGGTAGTGGTGGGGAAAGGTTATGGTAGTGGTGGAAGTGGTTATGGTAGTGGTGAGGTGGTTATGGTAGTGGTGAGTTGGCTATGGAGTGATGGGGAGAGTTATGGTAGTGGTGAGGGTGGTTATGGTAGTGGTGGGGTGGTTGTTGGTGGTGGGGGTGGTTATGGTAGTGGTGTGGTTATGGTAGTGGTGGGGAGTTGGTTATGGTAGTGGTGGGGGTGGCTATGGTAGTGGTGGGGGAGTGGTTATGGTAGTGGTGAGGAGTGGTTATGGTAGTGGTGGGGGGGTTATGGTAGTGGTGGGTGGTTATGGTAGGGTGAGGTGGTTATGTGTGTTGGTTGGGAGTGGTTATGGTAGTGGTGAGGGTTGGTTATGGTAGTGGTGGGGTGGCTATGGTAGTGGTGGGGGTGGTTATGGTAGTGGTGGGGTGGTTATGGTAGTGGTGGAGGTTGTAGTGGTGGGGGTGGTTATGGTAGTGGTAGGTGGTTATGGTGTGGTGAAGGTTATGGTAGTGGTGGGGTGGTTGGTAGTGGTGGGGAATTGCTATGGTAGTGGTGGGGTGGTATGTTGGTGATTGTAGTGGTGGGGTGGTTATGGTAGTGGTGGGGTGGTTATGGTAGTGGTGGTGGCTATGGTAGTGGTGAGTGGTTATGGTAGTGTGGGGGTGGTTATGGTAGTGGTAGGGATGGTTATAGTGGTGGTGGGGGTGGTTATGGTAGTGGTGGGGGTGGTTAGTGAGTGGTGGGGTAGTTATGGTAGTGGTGGGGTGGTTTATGGTAGTGGTGGGGTGGTTATGGTAGTGGTAGGGTTGGTTATGGTAGTGGTGGGAGTGGTTATGGTAGTGGGGTGGTTATGGTAGTGGTAGGGGTGGTTATGGTAGCAGGCATTGCAGGAGAAGGGAGGACAAGAAGATTAGGAGGAGGAGGAGGAGGAGGAGGAGGAGGAGGGAGGAGGAGGAGGAGGAGGAGGAGGGGCCAACCAGACAGACACTGCTGGCTCCCTCCTCCTCTCCCTCCTCCCCCTCGTAACTATCTTCCTCCCCTCCCTTCCCTCCTCGCCATCTTCCCTCCTCTGGCGAGTGTGTATAACGCCATGGTGTACATAGTTCACAATAATCGCCAAGGAAGGTTTAAACAGTGGTTGTCTTGATGGGTGTGAGGGTGTGAGGTGGGGGGTGAGGTGTGAAGTGTGAGGGGGTGAGGGTGAGGGTGAGGTGTGAGGGGTGGTGAGGTGTGAGGGTGAGGGTGTGAGGTGTGAAGGGGGTGGTGAGGTGAGGTGAGGGTGAGGGTGTGTGAGGGGTGGTGAGGTGGGTGAGGGGTGTGAGGGGGGTGGTGAGGGGTGAGGGTGAGGGGTGAGGGGGTGAGGGGTGAGGGTGTGAGGGGGTGGTGAGTGAAAGGTGAGGGGTGAGGGAACAGGGGAGAAGCAGTGAGGGAATCTGGATAAACAATATCTTGGCAAGTATGCATGAGTCAGGGTGTGACGTCAATGTTGCCAAAGGAAACATGTTTTGTTAGTTTGTTTGTGTGGTGAGGCCTCTCTCTCTCTCTCTCTCTCCCTCTCTCCCTCTCTCTCTCTGTCTCTCTCTCTCTCTCGGGGAACAACTGGCGTCAAGGGAGCAGTGCGTCAACTGCAGTTAATGAGCGCTAAGTGATCAAGTAATTGGGCGAGGCAGTGTTGAGAAAGACGAGTCACCCGGCCAGCCTTTAAATGTTTATTATTATGAAGCAGGCAACCGCTCCCTGGTGGCTTCTTGAGGCGGCAGTGAGACGTGCAGCAGCAACAGCACATATACCTGCCGACTCTCCCACATCAGTGAGCACCGAGCCAGAGGCAGCCAGCAAGCACCAGCCAGCTCCTGCGCCACAAAAACCAGGTATTGTAATGTTTCTACAGGTGGTGAGGCGCGCCACCTGTTGATCACTCGGCAGCAACATGATCATGTGTGTGTGAGGGTGGTGATCAAGGTGGCCCCCGGGGCACTGAATGGGATATTTCCGGAACGGAACCTTATCACTGGCTGGTCCTTGACGAGGGTTGAGGAGCGTGAGAGCGGTGCTGTGTAAGGTGGAGCACCCACAAGGGTTGTGTTCCACCATTCTTGTGTGTCAGCCGCCGGCAACCACTGAGGCTCCCCCCCTCCCCAGCCCCCCCTCTTGCATCCCCAGCCCCAAAGCTCTGGCCAGCCCCCCGCTAGCACCTCAGTTGTGCTCACGACTGTGTGCTGAGTGGACTACCACGCTCACCTTCCTGCCCACACCGCCACCACACCTCTGTCTGCCTCAACAAGCAAGGTGTGTGTACGAGAGATATGTGAGTACTGTTGTGTCCTCACCGTGTGTGTGTACCTCGTTAACACAGCAGCACTACAGGAGGCTGTACTTGGGCCCTGAGTCACAAAAGGTCATACAATGAATATTACTTCTACCGTATGATGTAAGAACGAACCTAACCTAACCTGTGAAGGATATCGAGTGTGTGTGGTTCACGAGTGTGACTTAGTGGAGGAGGAAGTAAGGTTAGGTTGCATGACATTGAGAAGGGTTAGGTTAAGTTTTCTCTCAAACATAGGTTAGGTTGTGATGAACTAGACTAGGTTAGGTTAGGTTAGGAGCGCCACTACCCTCGCTACACAAGCTAGAGATATCAGTAGTTAGGCGGAGGATTTGGCCAAGGATTAGTATGCATGACTCTGTGGGACCTTGACGGCGTACTGAGCGGAGTCTCTCTCTCTCTCTCTCTCTCTCTCTCTCTCTCTCTCTCTGTCTGTCTGTCTCTCCGGGCCTCTCATCTCTAGTCTGTCTCTAAATCCATGTAAGACTGGCCTGTGTGTGTGTGTGTGTGGTGTGTGTGTGTGTGTGTGTTCACCAGCCAGCCACCACACCTGTTCAGTGGCCCAGGTGCTTGCTGCTGCTAATACTCATCATCTCTCCCCAATCAACACTTAGCCCCCTCTCTCTCTCTCTCTCAGCTCAGTGACAGTAAAGCCTTAAGACAACACGTCGAAAATATTCACACATACTTGTTCATATCCGCCTCCTCCTCTTCCTCCCATTCTTCTTCTACTCCTCCCTCTTCCTCCTGTTCTTGCCCCTCCTCCTCTTCTTTTCCCCACTCCTCTATCCTCTCCCTTCTCTTCTGTTCTTCCCACCTCCCCCTCCCTTCTTCCTCCTCCTACTCCTCCTCTTCTCCCCTCCCCCCCTCTTCCTGACCTCCTCCTCCTCGTGGCCATGGCCCTCCTCCCCTCCCCCCTCTTCCCTGACACTCCTCCTCCTCGTGGCCATGGCCCTCCTCCCAGATTTCACAACACGAGGGAGTGTAAGCCTTGCCTTCACCAACAAGCTAACATAGGAGGTGTGACATTTTTGACTCTCTTATGACGTCCGGTGAGTTGTTCTCTCTCTCTACCCCCTCGTTATCTTTCTCTCTCTCTCTCTCTGTCTCTCACTCTCTCTCTCTCTGTGTATGTCTGTCTGTCTCTCTCTGTCTGCCTCTCTCTCTCTCTCTCTCTCTCTCTCTTCTCTCTCTCTCTCTCTCTCTCTCTCTCTCTCTCCCCTATCTCTCTCTCTCTCTCTCTGTCCCCCTATCTCTCTCTCTCACTCCCTCTGTCTGCCTCTCTCTCTCTCTCTCTCTCTCTCTCTCCTGCACGTCGACTTAATTCCTCCTAGCTAACTCTTGCTTAAATGGTGACAAGACAACAGGGCTTCGTTAAAACTCAATGTTCCTCAGTCACACACACACACACACACACACACACACACACACACACACACACACACACACACACACACACACACACACACACGTTAATCAACAGGTAGGTTTCCGGTGAACGGCCGCACCTTTTACGACACCTGTCTGTATGTATGTATGAGAGTGTGTGTGTGTGTACTCTTTGAAGACGATCATTTCACCCTTGGACACCATTAAGTTATGTACGTATAGAAACAGTTATTAGCACCCGGCGTGATGATACAGTTGCTATCACCACTACCACTACTACCACTACCACCACTACCACCACCACTACCACCACTACTACTACCTACCACTATTACCACCACCACTACCACTACCACCACTACCACTACCACCACTACTACCACCACTACTACCACCACTACTACCACCATCACCCCTAGCGTCAGCCATCGCTATTAAACAACAAACAAATTACCTTATCCTGTGTGCACGATTAACTAGCGCCATGTCTTACCTTGTCATCTGTGTGCACATTAACCCCACCATCTCTTACTTGTCATCATGTGTGCACGATTAACTAGCCCCGCCATCTCTTACCTTGTCATCATGTGTGCACGATTAACTAGCCTCTCCATGTCTTACCTTGTCATCATGTGTGCACGATTAACTAGCCCGCCATCTCTTACCTTGTCATCGTATTGCACGATTAACTAGTCCGCCATCTCTTACTTGCATGTATTTAATAGCCCCGCCATCTCTTACCTTGCCATCCTGTGTGCACGATTAACTAGCCCCGCCATCACCTGCTTGCCTCACCTGAAAATGAAACACTTTAATTAGCCAAACAAACACAGACACACACAACAACAAACAACAACAACGAGATTGAGCCAAGTTGGAGCTGAGAGATCATCTTAGTGTGTGTGTGTGTGTGTGTGTGTGTGTGTGTGTGTGTGTGTGTGTGTGTGTGTGTGTGTGTGTGTGTATCGTAGCCGTGACTTCTCAGATATAAGAAATTCGATGCCTACGCCCCCCCTCCTCTCCCCTCTCCCTCACCCCTCCTCTCCCCTCTCCCTCACCCCTCCTCCTCCACCACCCCTACCCCCTCCCCTCACCCCCCCTCTCCCTCACCCCCCTCCTCCTCCACCACCCTCCCCCTCCCCTCTTCCACCACCCCTACCCCCCTCTCCCTCACCCTCCTCCTCCACCCTACCCCCCTCCCCTCCTCTTCCACCACCCTACCCCTCCCCTCATCCCCCTCCTCCTCCACCCACCCCGTGATAGGCAAGTCACATGCTCCAGTATGAGCAATGAGAACCACATCTAATATACCAGTACAGTATTAATAATTACTCATAGGTACTAATACAGGTATCTTAAGCTTTACCTTTTAAAATATCATATTAAAGCTTATGAACTGCCAGCTTATTTGACTTGATGAATAAAAACACCTAACTAGACCAGGTTAGGTTGGTGTGTCTTTAACTGAGAGAGAGAGACTGTGGGTGAAAGCTAAAACAGAGACTATGAGAGATTACTGTGTGTGTGTGTGTGTGTGTGTGTGTGTGTGTGTGTGTGTGTGTGTGTGTTGTGTGTGTGTGTGTGTGTGTGTGTGTGTGTGTGTGTGTGTGTGTGTTCATCACAAGTGTTCTATCAGTTTGCCCTTGCAACACGCCCTATTAACGCTGGATAAGCCGGGGCGGATGGTGACACACACACACACACACACACACACACACACACACACACACACACACACACACACACACAGGATATGATATACACTTCTTACAAATAGCTAACATCTGGGACGCTGTTGCAATTGTGCTCAAGTCTTAATAGTGCTACTGGTTGGGTTTGGTTAGGTTTGGTTAGGTTTGGATGGTTGTTGGTTGGTTTGGTTAGGTTGATTGGGTTAGGTTTGGTTAGGTTTGGTTAGTTGAGATGTATGTGGGAATGGTAGGTCTAGCCTGGGTCAGTCGGCAGGTCCTCGCTCTTGCCCTCCCTCCCTGCCACACCACTACCCTCCCTGCCACCTCCCTGCCCACACCCTCCCTCCTGCCACACTCTACCCTCTGCCACACCACCCTTCCTGCCCCACCACCTGCACTCCTCCTGCCCACCTACCACCTCCCTACCTCCCCTGCCACACTACACCACCCACCTCCTCCCCTGCCACACCCTCCACCTTCCCTCCTGCCACACCTACCCTCCCTGCCACTCCCACCACCCTCCCACCACTACCCTCCTCCCCACTTTCCTCCCCACTCCCCCCTCCTCCCCTACCCTCCCTACCCCTGCCCACCCCTCTACCCTCCTGCCCACCACTACCTCCTGCCTACTACCCTCCCCACCTACCCCTCCCTGCCCCTACCCCACACACCACTACCCTCCCCTGCCCCCTACCCTCCCTACCCCTCCCTCCCCTGCCCACCACTACCCTCCCCTACACCACTACCCCTGCCTACCCACCTCCCTCCTGCCCACCCTACTACCTCCTGCCCACCCCTCCCCTACCCTCACCACACCCTCCCCTACCTTCCCCTGCCCACCTACCTCCTGCCCCCTCCCCTCCTCCGCCCCTACCCTGCCACCCCACTGACCTCCCTCCTGTCCTCCCTACCTGCTCCCTCCCCTACTCTCCCTGCCACTCCCAACCCTGCCCACCCCTCCCTTCCCCAGCCCCACCACCCCCTCCCACCACAAATGATAATCATTCACCGAACATAAACACTTCACTGTTAATCCCCATTGAACACCTGTTGGCGCGTATCACACCTGCGGAAATCACACCTGCACTATCACACCTGCGCCACCATCTTACGCCACCACACCTGCGCCACCATACTAACGACACCACAAAAGCGCCAGCAACATTTATTACTAACACAGCAGAAGGTAACGTGCTGTGTGGTGTTGTGTGTGTGTGTGTGTGTGTGTGTGTGTGTGTGTGTGTGTTGGACTGGTATTATTAGGTGCTGGGGGTAGATAAAACAACGAGGATGCTGTGGAGTCGCCCGCCATTGTCGTCCTCTGATCGTTGCGTTTTTACCGATTAAAATACCGGGCTGGGCTTCTACTGTCCATGTACCACCCCCAACCCACGGCCCGCCCACCACGCTGTCTGCCCACCCTCTGGCCCCACCACCCGGCCACCGCCTACCTCCTTCATTGTCTCCTACCCTCCCTACACACCCACACTACCACACTGCCAGGTGGTCGGATGAGGTTGGGATCTTTTCTGAACAGCTCGGCTGAAGGTTCATTCATATCACACGAGCCAGGGATAAGTGCTACCATGTGCCACTACCATAGTGCCACCTAAACATGGTGCCACCCCTACCATGTGCCACTACCATAGTGCCACCTCACCATAGTGCCACCCTAAACATAGTGCCACCCCTACCATGTGCCCCTACCATAGTGCCACCCCTACTGTCACCCCACCATGTGCCACCCCTACCATAGTGCCACCCTACCACAGTGTCACCCTACCATGTGCACCCCTACCATGTGCACCCTACCATGTGCCACCCCTACCATAGTGCCACCCCTACACAGTGTCACCCCCCTACCATGTGCCACCCCTACC